CACCTCAGACATCAGAAGAGCTGCAAGACCAAGAACAAGCCACGAGAGTAAAGATGAAGATCCACCCAGAGGAAAAGTGTTCCTGCCATACATCAAGGGAACCACTGACCGCATAGGGAAGCTGATGAGGAAACACAACATACAAACAATCTACAAACCCACCAAGAAAATCCAACAAATGCTACGTTAAGCAAAGGACAAGAGGGATCCTCTCACCTCTGCAGGAGTCTACCGTATACCATGCAGCTGTGGACAAGTCTACATAGGGACCACCAAACGCAGCGCCCAGACACGCATCAAGGAACATGAAAGGCACTGCAGACTACTTCAACCGGAGAAGTCAGCCATAGCAGAGCACCTGATGAACCAGCCTGGACACAGCATATTATTTGAGAACACAGAAATGCTGGACCACACCAACAACCACCATGTCAGACTACACAGAGAAGCCATTGAAATCCACAAGCATGTGGACAATTTCAAAAGAAAGGAAGAGACCATGAAAATGAACAAAATTTGGCTACCAGTATTAAAAAACTCTAAAATTATAACAGCTAAACAACAGAGAGGAAAAAACCAGGCACAGATTAACACCTCCCAGCAACAGATTTTCCCAGACTCAGGCAGGCCTTCAAATGCTAATGAAGGTGATCAGCTAAACATTCACACCTAACTGCAGCAGGGAAGAGCTCCTTGCCCCACCCCAGCCATTCCACAGATATATAAACCCATTCTCCTAATTCCAACAGACCTCACACCCTCTGAGGATGCTTGCCATAGATGCAGGCGAAACGTCAGGAGAAATGCCTCTACAACATGGCTCTATAGCCCGAGAAAACCCACAAGAACCTAAGGAGGAATTTATCTCAAGCAGACTGCAAATGCATCGCAATTTGATCAGGATGTTCTTCCTGATGTTTAGGTGGCATCACTTTTCCCCCTGCCATTTGAATCCATGACTACATTGTGTTCTGGCCTCTGGAAGAGAAAGCTCAAGAGACTATCACTTCTCTTGATCTTGACACAATCCTCCTATTGATGCCACCTAGGATCGCATTGGCTTTTTTCACTGCCACACCACACTGTTGGCTCATGTCATAGAATCATAGAATCCTAGAATTGGAAGAGGCCACGTGGGCTATCCAGTCCAACCCCATTGTGCCAAGAAGCAGGACAATCACATTCAAAGCACCCCTGACAGATGGCCATCAGCCTCTGCTTAAAACAAGGAGCCTCCACCACATTCTACAGCAGAGAGTTCCACTGCTGAACAGCTCTCACAGTCAGTAAGTTCTTCATAATGTTCAGATGGGATCTCCTATCTTGTAGTTTGAATGTCCAGTTTGCAAAGACCCCTAGATCTCCTTCAAATTGACTGTTACCAAGCTGGTGTCACCCATCCATATCCTATATGACTTATTTCCCTTGATGGGGAAGTAGATTTGGTTTTGGCTTGCCTACTGCTCCCAACCTTCATCTTAAGACTTTAATTATATTTAACTTCCCCTCTCCCATTTTTTCTCATTCATAACTTTGGATGGAGCCCCGGTGGCGCAGTGGGTTAAACCCCTGTGCCGGCAGGACTGAAGACCGACAGTTCGCAGATTCGAATCCAGAAAGAGGCGGATGAGCTCCCTCTATCAGCTCCAGCTCCTCATGCGGGGACATGAGAGAAGCCTCCCACAAGGATGATAAAAACATCAAATCATCCGGACGTCCCCTGGGCAACGTCCTTGCAGACGGCCAATTCTCTCACACCAGAAGTGACTTGCAGTTTCTCAAGTCCCTCCTGACACACATACACAAAAAAGCTTTGGACACTAGATTATGACTATGAGGAGACCTGGGTTCGGATCCCTGCTGTGTGGAAACCCAAAGTCACACTCTCTTGGCCTCAGAAAAAGGCAACCACTCCTTAAAAACTGTTCCCAAGGTAACTCTATAATAAGGTTACTATAAAGTTGGAAATGACTCAAATGCACAAGAAAAAGGGTGGAAGGAGGAGAGTGAAGCCAGGACATTTTAAAATCAGCTGAAAAAAGTGGGAAGGCATGGAAGTAATTTCCAAATTGAGAGAGCTGGGTACGGAAATGGAAGCCATTTGAGATCCAATGTTCTCTTATATTTGTTTTTAGCTCTTCCAAATAAGCTCACCTCACTACCTCTGAAAAACCTACAACAACCCAGTGATTCCGGCCATGAAAGCCTTCGACAATACATTAAGCTGGAGAGATTTGTTTTGATGGCAAAGCGAGGGCTTTTTGAAGTGGTCCTCACCACAATGCTGTTGCCATGACTTTCAGAGTCGATTTTTGACTCTTCAAACCTCCATCAAAGAGGTTGGACCTATTCAGAAAGCTTTTTTGTGCTTTCCAGATGAAAAGAAAGAAAAGCGAACAGAGTCGCACCACACTTACGTAAGGGCCCATTTCCCTTTTTTAAGATGCAAATGCATTAAGTGGGTTTCATGGAGAGCTTTTTAGAGTTCAACTGAGATCGAGAAGAGGTTGCAGGAGGATATTAGCTTTATTATGATTTTGTTCCTGTTTTGAATAGGTTTCTCCTCCTTTCTGAATCTGCATCCAAGGTCAAACTAGAACACTCTTGGGATAAATGGCACTGAAGGATGGACCACGAATGGCACAATGATGGAGCCACAGTGGTGCAATGGGTTAAATCCTTGTGCTGGCTGAACTCCTGATCTGAAGATCAGTGGTTCAAATCTGCGAGATGGGGTGAGCTCCTGTCTGTCAGCTCCAGCTTCCCATGTGGAGACATGAGAGAAGCCTCCCACAATATGGTAACACATCTTGGGCAATGTCACTGCAGACAGCCAATTCTCTCATACCAGAAGCGACTTGCAGTTACTCAAGTTGCTTCCAATATGAAAAAAAAGCGAGAATGTGTACAGTTTGAAACTGCTTTGATTGCCATGGCTCAATGCTATGGAATCACAGAGTTGCAGTTAGCCCTTTTGGGAGAGATAAGCCCTCAAGACCTCGAGGAACTACAACTCCCAGGATCCTATCACAGTTAAAGTGTTTTCGCAGACATTCATTCTACAGTCTGGATACATCCAAAGACTCTAGGCTCAGGCAAAAGCAAACTGCTGCATCCTTTCCTAGTGTTTACATTTGTTGAAATGTTATTCATAGCAAAGGTCCATTTAAAGCAGTGTTTCTCAACCTGGGTGTCAGGAACCCTGCAAAGGGGTTTTTAGAGGGGTTAGAGAGGTCGTCAAAGACCATCAGAAAACATATATTTATGATGGTCGTAGGAACCCCTTTGGTAGAAGGCTGAAGATCTCTCAGACTGTCCTTCTCTTTCTTTTTGGAAACAGACAGCGAATCCTCCCACTAAGTCTTCCTCCTGCTATGATTGGCCGGCCTCTCAGCCAAGGGGAGGGCTGTTTCTTAGATAGAATTGAGCCCAAGCAGGGAGGGGAGAGCAGGTGTGCTCAGCGCATGGCAGCGTGGTGCACATCTGTGGACGAGGGAGAGCGTGAGAGGCTAGAGGGACACTCGTGCCAGCAAGTCCCTTCAAGGCTTGGGGGTTCAGTGTGGGAAGCTGGGCCCAATTCTATTGTTGGTGGGGTTCAGAATGCCCTGATTGTAGGTGAACTATAAATCCCAGCAACTACAACTTGCAAATGTTTCTGAACCTGGGGGTTTAGGACCCCTGGGGGGGGGGTTGCAAAGGGGTGTCAGAGGAGTTGACAAAGACCATCAGAAAACACAGTATTTTCTGTTGGTCCTGGGGGTTCTGTGTGGGAAGTTTGGCCCAATTCTATCATTGGTGGGGTTCAGAATGCTCTTTGATGTAGATGAACTATAAATCCCACCAACTACAACTCCCAAATGTCAAGGTCAATTTTCCCCCAAACTCTACCAGTGTTCATATTTGGGCATACTGAGTATTTGTGCCAAGTTTGGTCCAGATCTATCATTGTTCGGGTCCATAGGGTTCTCTGGATGTAGGTGAACTACAATTCCAAAACTCAAGGTCAATGCCCACCTAACCCTTCCAGTATTTTTTGTTGGTCGTGGGAGTTCTGTGTGGGAAGTTTGGTTCAATTTCATTGTTGATGGAATTCAGAATGCTTTTTGATTGTAGGTGAACTATAAATCCCAGCAACTACAACTCTCAAATAGCAAAATCAATCTCCCCAACCTCACTAATATTCAAATTTGGGCGTATGGGGTATTTGTGCCAAATTTGGTCCAGTGATTGAAAAAACATCCTGTATATCAGATATTTATGTGACAAATCATAACAGTAGCAAAATGACAGTTATGAAGTAGCAACAAAGTAATGTTATGGTTGGGGGTCAGCACAACATGAGGAGCTGGTTTAAGGGGTTGCGGCATTAGGAAGGTTGAGAAACACTGATTTAAATTGAAGATCCCAAGCTGTACAAGGCGTTGCCAAAGAAAGGCCTCTTAAACCGCTGCTCGCAAATGCCTTTGCAAACTGAACTTGGCCAGATTTCTAAATCTAGGAACTTCTATGATCAAAGTAACTTTGTGAGAAAGTGAAAGTGGAGAGAACTAGGGAATAGAAGGAGGCGGAAATGGGAAAGTTACAAGATTTGGCAACAAGGAGGAAAGACATAGTTGCAAAACCCAAATGTGGATGATACAGAAAGGCCACACTTTGCATGTTTTTCTCTTTGTTGCCATCTCCAGGAATGCAAAACAATCAGAGCCAAGAGTTCCATCTACACTTTGGAATGACTGCAGTTGGGCACCACTTCTACCTCCCTGGCTCAATAACCCTGGGATTTATAGTTTGGTAAAGCACCAGCACTTCCCTGGTAAGGGAAGGCGAATTATATTTCCAAAACTGCAACTCCCAGGATTCCTTTTTTTGTGTGTGTGTGCCTGAATTCTCCAATGGAGATGCACCCCTTCCTTTGGCACAATGAGTCCCCAGCTTTGCCCCAAACCTCCTTTGGGAAATTCCTGGGAAAATGCGAATTTGCAAATAAATAAAGGCTCTACCTTGCTATAATCCACATTATTCAATCCTTCACAGCAATCCAAAGGGGGGACCCCAGGGTGCATTCCCCAAAAGCACCCCAAACCTGGATCTGTCTTCTATTTGCTGGTTGCAATGTATATATATATTTTAAAAAGCTTTGCTCAATCGACTCCTGCTTCCTGATGAGTCACAGCTTCGTAATCTACCGCAAAGCTTGCTGGGGGATGTAGTTTCCTGCCTCTTTAGGCGCTTGCCCTCCCTACACGTGTACAGAGGGTGGGTTCACACGTTAGGCGTGTTTTAAGCCTCTTTAGGAGATCTCCCAACATTTTCTGGAAGCTGAACTTGGAATTCTACATTGTCGAATTAACACAGCTTCAAATCACTTTCACTGCCATAGGACCCTGGGCGTTGTAGTTTGACAAGGTCTTTAGCAAAGAGGATTGAGGCCTCACTGAACTATCAAAGCACTGAGCCATGCAAGGACAACATATATCCATGGACGACACATAATCCAATTTAGGCTCATATTATGCAGACTGAACCACATTGAACTGGACTGAATGAGTCTTCACTGCCAGATAATCCAGTTCAATGCAGTTAATCTGTGTTGATATAATGTAATGGAATCCTAGGAGTTGTAGTTTGGCCCTTTTGGGCAGAGAAGGATTGAGACCTTGTAAAACTATAACCAGGACCCCATAGCATTGAGCCATGGCTGTTCGGGTGAGATCAAACTGCATCAACCTGCAGGTAAGATCCTCCCCTGGGGTCCAGACCTTGTAGAACTACAACTCCCAGGACCCCATAGCATTGAGCTATGGCAAGTGAGATCAAATGGCATCAATCCTGCAAGTAACCTGCATCCCTAGGGTCCAGACCTTGTAGAACTATAACTCCCAGGACACCATAGCATTGAGCCATGGCAAGTGAGATCAAACAGCATCAATCCTGCAAGTAAGGTGCAACCCTAGGGTCCAGACCTTGTAAAACTACAACTCCCAGGACTTCATAGTATTGAGCCATGGCAGTTTGAGTGAGGTCAAACCACATCAACCCGCAGGTAAGATCCATCCTTGGGGTCCAGACCTTGTAGAACTACAATTCCCAGGAGCCCATAACATTGAGTCATGGCAAGTGAGTTCAAATTGCATCAATCCTGCATGTAAGATGCAACCCTAGATTCCAGATCTTGTAAAACTACAGCTTCCAGGACCCCATAACATTGAGTCGTGGCAAATGAGATCAAACGGTATTAATCCTGCAAGTAAGATGCACCCCTGGAGTCCAGACCCTGTAAAACTACAGCTCCCAGGATTCATAGTATTGAGCCATGGCAGTTTGAGTGAGGTCAAACTGCATCAACTCGCAGGTAAGATCCATCCTTGGGGTCCAGACCTTGTAGAACTACAACTCCCAGAACCAATAGCACTAAGCCATGACAGTTCAAGTGAGGTCAAACCGCATCAATCCTGCAGGTAAGATCCATTCTTGCAGTCCAGACCTTGTAGAACTGTAACTCCCAGGACCGCATAGCATTGAGTGAGGTCAAACAGCATCAATCCTGCAAGTAAGATGCACCCCTATGGTCCAGACCTTGTAGAACTACAACTCCCAAGATCCCATTAGCCTTGAGCCATGGCAGTTCGAGTGAGCTCAACCCACATTTGTTTGACAGTGTAGATGCACCCTAACAGAACGCACAAAGCTTCCTAACCCTGGAAGAAAGGGAAAGGGTGAATGGGATTGGGATTTCAAGGATGCCACTAACCTTCCTGGGGTTCCTCAACCTCCAGATGGAGAAGCTTTGGGTGGTAAAGGGATCGACCGGCTGACTGCAATGGGTCCTGGAAAGCCTGGACTTTGCACAGTAAACAGAAGGCAGATGCTGGCACCTGGCACATGTCGGACGTCTCCCTGAGGTTGTGTCCACACTTTCGAAGGAATGCAGTTTAACCCCACTTCAACTGCCATGGCCAAAGGCTATGGGATCCTGGGATGTATAGTTTTACATAATCTTGGCTCGTATTAACTTTGGCTTGCCTGCTGCTCCCAATCTTCGTCTTAAGAGTTTCATCAGGCAACAACATTTTTCTCTAATGAGCTAATTTGTTTTTGGTTCTTTATCATGAACCTCTTTAATTGTGTGTGTGTGTGTATGTATGTCTCAAACAATTGGGCTTTTCCATATTTGGCTAGTTCG